TATGGATAGTAAATTTTGCTCGAGTTTTGGAACATATCAAACAATGTGAATAAGAAACTCACGATCATCAAACATTTTAAGTTTTACCATATCAATACCATGAACCTTGCAAGATTTATTGCCACCAAGGAGAACTATTCCACTTTGCTCAAACTTCAAACGGTCAAAGTATTATACACGTGATAAGACAAACACGAGTCTATGACCCAACTATCTTTAGTCACCATACTCGAAACCACTAGTGCATCAACACTCTTATAACCATCCCCATCTAAAGAAATCGCAACTTGAACAAAATTATCACTGCCTTTTCTCTCAGGATAGTTCCTTTTGAAACGACTATTTTTTTCAATTAAAACATTTTTCCCTTTGACTTGTCAAATCTTTTTGATTTGGAAATTCCTTTACGCTCACTTCCTCCTTTCGAGATACTTAAGACTTCACCAGTATTATCAATCTTCAAATCTTTCACCTTTGAAAATTCTTTAAATCTCACAGTTATTTGAACTTTATCCAAAGTAATAATACATTCCTTACCATAAACAAAGGCATCCTTAATATGCTCAAAGTATTTGGGTAATGAACTCAACAACAGTAGAGCCTTGTCTTGGTCATCAAACTTCACCTCAATATTCTCAAGATCATCAATAATTTTGTGAAATACTGTCAACTTTTCCATTATGGATTTTTTTCTCCACCATTGGAAATGAATCGATTTGGTGTTTCAGACACAACATGCAATCCAAAGATTGTGTCATATACAATGATTCAAGTATTGTCCACATCAAAATCGCAATTTGCTTCCCGATGACTTCCCTTAGAACTTTATCCATAAGGAATAAGATAATGGCACTTTTGACTTTATAAGTCATTTGGTATTCTCTACTTTAGTTATACGTGCAAGCATCGATGTCTCATCCTTCAAAGCTTCAATACATTTCTCTTGAGTTAAAATTGTATGCATATTTACTTTCCACAACCCAAACTTGTCTCTGGGAAATTTCTTGATCTCCTATTTAGCCATGGTATTCACTTATAAATAATATCCTTTTGTCCCACATGGGCTCCACTTGTTGTGAAATTGATAAAATAATTAAAAACCACATCGAAAGAAGCATTCAGAGTTCAGCTACACCAAGAAATTTAATGTGTGAGACAAAAAAGAATGACAACCAAAATAAATGGCATTCAGTAGTAATAAACTTTAATGCAATAAGACAGTGAATTAGCTTGGTAGAAGAAGATAAAAGAAGGTAAGGAACACAAAATGTTTGTTTACCATGTTCGATCATGTGATATACGTCTAGGGGAGAGAGCGATTATCTAATTCAATATACTCTAAAAGTCGTTACAAGATATTACAACATAATAATAAAAGAGATGCATATTTATAATTTATAAAACTCAACATATCCATAACAAATATCAAAACACAACCCACTAAAAAATGGATCCGCGAACGTGCCCAAAATTATGTCAGTACCAAAACATATCATTTTCCTTCTCTTTTTGAGGTTTTAAAGCATATTGTAATAATCTCCATCTTGACTTGCTTTGAAACTGACGGTGATGTCAATTTAACCACCAACCACATTCCTGCTCTCTTCAAAGATTTAACCTCTCTTTAACAACCTTGATCAAGTTCAAGATACCTTTGAACCTTGATCTCGTCCCTTGCATCCATACTAGGATCCAACTTATTCTCCCCTATTAAGCCTAACTAAGCTCTAATACCACTTGTTAGGGGAGTTCATGTAGCACAGTAAGTTTCAATGGGGATAAATGTTCAGGATCTAAGAGATCTTGACGCCACATATCCATCAAAAACCTTAAGACATTAGGGGTGTAGGTCATTTTTCTTATAAACCCAACATTTTCTCAATTTCTAGTTGATGTGAGACATAACTACTCAAACTTGAATCTCAACAATCTCTCTTACAAGTGTGAGTCACATACATCCCTGGCCTTTATCCATACAAGGATATCATTTTCTCTCCCACATCGAGTCTAACCATGGATCTGATACCATTCTCATCTAAGACAATTGCAACTTAAACAAAATCATCATTGTCCTTTATCTCGGGACAGTCCCTTTTGAAGTGACCCGTTTTTTTTACAACAAAGCATTTTACCTTTGAATTGTCAAACCCTTTTTATTTGGATATCCATCTACGATCGCTCCCTCTTTTTGAGATACTCGAGCCTTCACCATTATTATCAATCTTAAAAATCTTTCACCTTTAAAAATCATTTGGATCTCACAATCGTTTGAACTTCAATCAAAGTAATAGTACCTTCCTTGCCATAAATAAGGGCATCCTTAAAGTGATTAAAGGGTTTGGATAATGAAATCAACAAGAATAAAATTTTTCCTCATCATCAATCTTCACCTCAATATTCTTAAGATCACCAATAATCTTGTAAAATTTTGTCAACTGCTCCACTATAAATTTAATCTCCACCATTCAGAATGAATAGAGTTATTATTTCAGACACAACTTGTGAGGTAAAGACTTGTTCATATATAATGGTTCAAGTTTTGCCCACATCGAAACCACAGTTTGCTCCCTGGCGACTTTCCTTAAAACTTTATCCCCGAAGCACAAGATAACGACATTTATGGCCTAATACAACATTCAGTCTTCTCTGCTTTAGTTAGACGAGTAGGCATCAAGGCTTCGCCTTTCAAAGCTTCAATACACTTCTCTTGAATTACAATTGCTTGTGTCTTTAATTTTTATAACCCAAAATTGTTGTCTCTGGAAAAAATTGATCTTCCATTTAACCATTGTGCTCACTTGTAAGCAATACCCTTTTGTCCCGCGGCGGGCGCCACTTGTTGTGAAATTAATAGAATAATTAAAACGACTTCGAAGAAGTATTCAGCATTCAACAACACCAAAAAATTTGATGTGTGAGATAAATAACAACAATGTCAACCTAAATAAAAGACCTTCAACAATAATAACCTTTAATGGAATAAGATTAAGTTGACAGGAAAAGATAAAAGAAGACAAGAAACACAAAATATTTGTTTACCCAGTTTGATCAAATGATCTATATGTGAGTAAGATAGCACCTCTCCAATTAACTATACTTCAAAAGTTGTTATAAGATATTACAAATGAGTTACAAGAAAATAGTCTTCCAAGTTCACAAGAACACACCTTATTTTCTATTCAAGTGTTTCTCAATCTCTACATCTTTCAATATAGTAATCACACAATTTCGAGGTGTTTAGAAGTATTTAACTAATCCTTTTAGATAGCTTTAAAGGTTTTTCAAAAATCCTAAACCCTTATTTCTGTCTTCAACCCTTAAGTTCTCAAAATTGTCACAATATAATAACAGAAGAGATACATAATTATAATTTTTAAAACTCAACATATCCATAACAAAGCCTAAAACACAACCCATCAACAGACGAATTTGTGACAAGCCCAAAAATATATTTGTATCGAAATATGTCATTTTTTCCTTCTCTCTCACTTGAAATTTTAAGGCATATTACAACACATTCTTCATTGCTTACTTGTCTCTTGTCTCTTAGCCGCTTATCAAGGAATATTTAATGTGTATATACTTTGTATTTTGAGGGTGAACCTCAATTGTCTTTATTTTTGTTGGACTTTTTGTTTCGACGCTTCTCGGTCTTGAGCTTTTCATTTCCACTTTGTACGACTCTTCTCATATCTAACATTTCTTCGTACCAGATGTACTTCTTAGTCATATCCAATATTTAATGTGTGTATACTTTGTATTTTGAGGGTGAACCTCAATTGTCTTTATTTTTGTTGGACTTTTTGTTTCGACGCTTCTCGGTCTTAGAGCTTTTCATTTCCACTTTGTACGACTCTTCTCACATCTAACATTTCTTCATACCAGATGTACTTCTTAGTCATATCCAACAAGTGGTTGAAGTTAATTGGTATCTCTATTTTGATACTTTGGAAAAATTTTCCCACTCAAAAATTGTATCTCTTGATAATTTCTTCACACTCAAAAACTCATGTTGAAGTATGTATCTTTTCATTTCATCATCATTAGTCTTTTTCCTTTTTAAAATTGTCTCCGAAAAGAGGCAATTAATTTATCCTCTTTCTGAATCTATTTATAAGAGACAATTTATGTTTTAAATATATTAAATAATTAATATATTTGATTCATATATAATTATTCAATCTATCTTAGGAAAAAAAATTCTCTTATAAATAGAATTTAATTTTTATCTTTTGGTTCTTTATCAAGTGGTCCATGGTAGCCAAAACAAAATGACTAGAGAATAATATACTGTTTCGCAGACATTCTCCATAACAGAAAAGAATAATGTAGTGTTGAGTGTTGACATTTCAATTATCTAGAATATATGTATGCCTTATTGGCCATATATCAATTAGCTTTTAAACCGTTAATCTGTCATGACAATTCTATTTGCCTAGTGCACAAAAACCTCCTTATACAATACACAAATGTATATACTATACGATTGTCATTGTCAAAAATATTTTACCATAAAAAAGATTCTACTCAATACCCTTTTAACTTTTTAATACTGTTATTAATTGTACTTTGCTTTTACTTAAATGAACTCAATTGAATGAGTGAGTACAAAGGAATTCCCTTTAAAAAATAGAAACATGGCCTAATATTTGACTGCATAACTTACTTGAATTGACCTATGAAAATGATAACCAAATTTGCCTATTATTCTTATAATAGCTTCTACTAATAATGAACATTATAATTGTTGATTATCCACACATGGAAATTACTTGTTATTTATACAATCTTCAAGTTTCAGAAAAAACAGTGGAATTTAACTCAAATGAATCCTTTGTTTCAAGCAAACACACCTTACATTATACTTCAAATCCAAAAGTGAATTCCAAGACTATCATTTCTTGCAATCCACATTTTCAAAGTCATATAAAAAACTTTATTGTGTGTAAATATTTATATTGAAGTGTATAATTTATTCAACCAAGTAGAGAAAATTTAAGATGAAATCATTTGTTAACAACCTTTTCTTTATGTTCTTCTTTGTTGTTGTCTTAACCAACATTCAAACTTGTTTTGCAGATTGTGATAACCTACAAGACACATGTCCATCAATTTCACCAAATAAACAAACCATATTCATCAATGGTCTACCATGCAAAAATCCATCTAATGTAACATCACAAGATTTCAAGACCGCGGAATTAAGTAAAGCTGGTCCTAAAGACATTTTTGGTGCGTCGATAAAACTTGTCTCCGCTTTTGAATTTCAAGGGTTGAATACTCTCGGTCTATCGATCGGAAGAACCGACATTGAAAATGATGGTTTGGTAAACTTTCATTATCATCCTAGAGCTACCGAAATGATCTTTGTTAAAAAAGGTGTATTGATGGCTGGATTTATTGATACAAAAAACCAAGTTTTCCAAAATGTTCTCAAAGTTGGTGATGTTTGTGTTTTTCCTAAAGGTTTGTTTCATTACATTCTAAATCAAGGTTTTGATGATGCTGTTGTATACTCAGTGTACAATAGTCAAAATCCTGGACATGTATCTATTGTTCCTACAACTTTTGATACAACATTGGAGTCTTTAGATAAGCTGAAAAGGAGAATTATCTCACTTTCTGCCTCTCAAGTTCATGATGGTATCATCAATTCTAACACTTAGCCATTCATATTAATGCTTCCTTTTGACTTGCTAAAAAAGATTGCGAGTGTTTATATATAACAATATTTAGGAATAATATTTTCTTTCTTAATAATTATTGTATGATTTGAGTTTATAGTATGATTGCACTATGGTTATATACCAAAAAGAAATCTGATTAATTTTGCAAGAATCGAGTTCGCTTGGAACTCGGGTTTATTTGGATACACATTCTAATTAAGTGCTTATCATATAAATGCTTGTCTATTAGTATTTCTATAAAATAAAAAATAATAATAATAATAATTTCAAACTATCTTAGTTACGCGTCCCATCATTTTCCATTTCAATAAAAGATGGAAAACTATCTCACTTACCCATCTAATTTTAGTAAAAGATGAAAAACTATCGAAAAACTATCTCACTTCCACATCTAACTCCATGTAACATACACAAAGAATTCAAATCTAACTAATAACAATAATAAAATCATAATAGTAATAATAATTAATGCAACTTAACAATGATATTAAAAAGAGAAAATAACAAAACTGTCTCTATTGTTGGAGCTTGAGTACTGGGAAGGGTATTACATCTCTAATACTGGGAGAATTTGTCAAAAGCATCACGAGCCTATCAATTCCAAGTCCCTGGAAATAATATACTCTTAGTAGATGAAATTTAAAAATAAGCAAAAAATAAAGTCAACTATACCAAGATATGAAAACCGATTATGTACCATTCCAGAGGCTGGAGGCATTCCATATTCCAAAGCTGTTAGGAAATCTTCATCAAGAGTCACTTCATATGATTCATCATCATTTTCTATTCCTTCTTTCTTATCTCCATTTGCTAAAACAACGGCTCTTTTCTTTTCATGTTGTTTAACTTGATCTTCTAGACGTCCTCTCTGGGAAGTACAAAAGCGACCATTTTGTTTGACCTCAAACTTGAGAGATTAATAGCTAGGATGCCTGAAAGCGAAAAGTTTGGAAGTTTACCTGATCTATAGGATCGGTCAATTCCGAGAATGCATTGCCTAGTTCACGACCACAAATGAAAAGTTCGAACCTCTCAGTCAAACCTGTGGACCTAGTGGAGGATAAAGTGTAAGATAGAAGATAATATAACAGGAAATGTGTACCAGATGTTATTAATCAGTTTGCTTAAGTTGTCCACGTCATACAATATTTTGTATAATATGAATAATAATTTTTTTTTACAAATTTTGTTGACCAAAAGAAAGGAAAAAATAGCAGTTCATAATATAAATGTTAAATTCATAAAACTAGAAAGATCATAATGAGGTTACATGATGAGCGAACAATGGTTCGGTTCAAAAGAAGCAGCACGATTATGAGAGTATTTCAAGTGCAAATAAATCTAAATTATAATTGCAACACAAGACTAGTAAACAGTGATCATCAAAAAGTCCAGGAACGATCTCAGTGGATTAGACAATTTGATTGTTGTGATGCAAATAAAGGGCAAAGCTAATTGATAACAGACATCCAGATTTGATGGTATTACCAGCAAAAAAATATAATTAACATTAAACGGTATTTTCTAAAATGTCTACCTGCGGTGTGGTTTAGCCAGCGGAGATATCTCAATTGGGTAGTCTAAAACAAATGTAGGTTGGATAAGCTTCGGTTCTACAAATAACTCAAAAACCTAAATACACAATAAAAACAAACTGGTTAGTGTATGCAAGTCAAATTGATAATAGATGCAAAAAAGTATTTTCAGAAAGAGCCGTCAATATGTAGAATGCCACCTCAAAAGAAGTTTGATTAGTAGCAAATATAACAAGCTTTATCAAATAATATGAATAAAATTGATGCCTATATTGAAGAGGAAGATAAAAGGTGAAGCCAATCAACCTCGTTAAGGAGGTGGCCAACAGATTGGCATGCTTCAATGGAAGCTTTATCCTTGTTATCAAGATTATTTTCAAGGCTAGCCAAAGTAGCTTGTTTTGCAACCTCAAGATCATTTCCCAATTCATTGAAATCGATCCCAGAAATTTCTTTAACAAGATTGTGCATGGTCTCTCTCCTCCATGGCTTTTCCAGACATATCTCCACTCCCTGTATGGAATCATTACGCTCGCTTCAAAAACAATTATTTCAAAATAAAAATATTCAAAAGATCGTCTACAGTTATAGTACACCGGCATTAGAGAACTGTAGATGAAGCAGAATAATATTGTAATATCAAGTGCATCTAATTTTAATTGAAATAACACCAAAAAAAGAGTGATAGAAGAAAATTTGTAATATCAAGTGCATCTAATTCTATACAAACCTGTAGCTCACAGTTCCAAAGTTTATTTTAACATCGTAAACTATTTTTTAAAACATTAAGACTGAATTTGATTAACATATGTATTTAAATGTATTAATCAAAATCAAGTGTCTTTTCAGAGTCAGCTTGGCATCCCTTCTAACACCTGACCAATAACATTTTAGATCAGTAAGAACGCTGTTTACCTGATAATCAATAGTAAGCTTCCCATGAACTGCCAGAGCACATTGAGTGACAATTTCCTCTGCCAAATTCATCATGCTTTGGTAGTCTGAGTATGCTTCATACATCTAAAGATTAGCTAATATGAGAAGTACAAATATACAATAATGAAAATTAAAATACCATATAAGCACTGTTAAAACAACTAGCTTGAAAGGTTAAGCCATGAAAAGTTAGTGAAAATATTATATATGCCCATCTCATGTATTAAAACTGTGAAAATATTATATATGCCCATCTCATGTATTAAAACTAACTTAAATTATCAGGGCACATTTGAAAAGGCAATTGTTGGATGCTAGAACAACCCATTCTTTTATTTGAACTTGAGACTGGATATGCAAAGGTAGGCAACAAAATCTTACTTTCTAAATTGAAACTTCAATTTACCTCTATAGTTGTAAACTCAGGATTATGACGAGTTGAAATTCCTTCATTTCTAAAAATTCGACCAATCTCATATACTTTTTCAAACCCACCCACCTGGTATAAAGAAAAGCATGAAAATGTTTAACAGCTAGAGTAAATCAACAACATAATTAATGTACACTCCTAGAATTTTGGTTGGGCATATATCATTATTACAAAGCCGGCTTGGAAGGTAAGGGCTACCTAAACTTTATAAACATTACCCATGCCATATCATTAGGCAATGTGGGACTAAATTTACCCCCTATTCACACCCAAGACAATGAAGGGGTTGGAGGCTGCAATGAAGGAAGTCCAAATGCTGCAATTAGGCAGCAGCTAGGGGCAGACCGCAATGAAGGAGGAATTTCCAATATACACAATCTCAAATTTATAGCTTGAAGAAGTCTCATCTATGGGACAATCAAGATATAGGATTTTCAAAAAGTTTGCAGCTAAAACAAATGAAGTTCTTCTCTAAAGAAAATACGACATTCTAATTATTAGTACTGTCTAGACAGCGACACTACAGGATGCAGAGTTTTTAATTTTTCAGAAAAAATCAAGATCTTGGACTAGTAATCAAACTCTTTTGCACTACATTTGGGAGGAACACTAACATATCTTTTTTGATAAACACAGCATTAAATCCTTATTACTTACTAAATAAGAAGATAAGAGATTGATTCCTCAACACTCTTTCCATTGAAAAAAATGTAAGCTATTGTCTGAAGGTAAGTTGATCCAGTACTTTAAGAATAAAAAATATTTTGAATCTCACCAGCATTCTCTTTAGGTGCAATTCTGTTGCAATTCTCAAATATAAGTCCCTTCCAAGAGAATTGTGATATGTAACAAATGGTCTGGCCTCTGCTCCCCCAGCTGCTCCCTAGTCAATGAAATTAATCAGGAAAAGAAAGAAATCTTCATGTGCAAAATGAAAATATGGTATTTATACATATGACAAACAATATTATATGGAAGATTTAGCCATGGAAGCTGTGAAATGTGAATAACAAACTTGTTCCTTTTCATGATTTGGAATGCTTACAAAAATAATCCATATCAAGGAAGAACCGTGAGTTTGTGCAGATTGTTGTGAGTAAGAGAAAATCTGGAAACATTATATGGTTTTCATATCCCTTAATTTCCCTAGCATTTTGTATAGTGAACCTCATCTATACACTAGGAACAATACTCCTCTAAAGCCATCTAGTTACTGCTTTCACAAATTTCTTATAATATTATTAAGAAATTGAAGCCATTTGCAATAGCTGACCTATTGGACTGTTTCTAATAGTACCCCAAAGCCTATTGACCAATTTGCGAGCTTCTGCCTTTTGCAGGAGTCGAACTCTGTACCAAGTGGGATAAGTACCAACATTCTTAAACTCCCACAACCAATTGAGATAAATATAAACAAAAATTACTGAATCACAACAGAAACAAACATGTGACTGAACAAGAAAAAAATACCGGCATGGTGATGAAATAGATTTCTGAAATAAATGGCTACTTGATAACTTATTTTAGTTACAAAAGTTCTGTACTGAAATGGTAATTACAAGGAATCAAATAAACATTGAAGGAGACAAAATGGGGAGGCAAATTGATCAAGCACTTAACACCAAATAGTTTGCTAATTAAATTACAACTAGCCATGATATAAATAATAACACAAGAGTAACAGGTTGTACAAAGCAATTTAACTGAGATGTTAACACCACTATATCAATCTGACTTTCAAGAGTGCAAGAGTAAAGCATAAATATGAGAATAATTATACAAGTATATAATGCTTACCAAAGTGACATGTTAGAATATCAAAATTACTTCTGAGCAATTGATGCTCTTAGCATATTATTAATATTAAATAATAGTAATGTAACTTGTTTCAGTCAAATAACTAGCAGATTCCCCATATGTACTTTTCCTACCAAGAAAAAATAGTGTAGGTACATGAAAATCAACAAACCTGCAAAACTGGAGTTTCTACCTCAACATAACCTAAAGAATCCATTGTCCTTCGTATTCCTGATACAACCTATTTGAACGGAACTGATCAGAAAAATAATACAAAAAGTGGCTAAGCGCTCTAGTGCGGATAAATGGAGAAGTATTTTTTTTTGACAATATATCAGCAGAAGCACAGAATGTGAGGCCACAGTAATACAAAGGAAGGTGGCCACATGATAGTTATAACTCATTTAAGTGGCATGGAAACAAGGAAGTGGGCAGATAAAATGAAACTTCTAAATTGACAATAAGTTGTATGTTTTTAATATTAAAACTAAAATAAATAGCAATGATTTCCTTAAGGTTTTGAAAAAAGGGAAGGATTAAGTGAAATGAATAGAAGGATTTAGGTGGGGAGGGTTTTGAAAGATTTATTTTTATTAAATCCCCCTAATTTGGGGGAGCTAAAAAGTCGTATTGGAGGATGGGCTTGGAGGGTTTTGGAGGGCTTAGACAATTTTGTCAGATATAATTTATGCTGTTATATTATTCCAAAAATTAAAAATATGTTAATGATAAGTATTCTTTTATCATTCTGTACAAAATCTTTTCTTCAAAAAATGTTAAAATTTTCTCTATTTTAAAAGAAAAATAAAAATTCGAAACCCTCCCGTCCAAACTCCCAAACAAAGCTTAAGCAAATAAAGTTTGAAAGAAGATCCACCTTTGCTCTTTTGCGGAATACATCAGCTACCTCTGGATTTGCAATCATATCTACATACCTAACCACAAGTCCACAACAAACATGAAGAGATATTTGAAAAAAAGTGCTGTTCAATTTTCAGTTCAGGGTGAGAATGATAACTAGAGATGCTGTAGAAATAAGAAGGAAAAATAAATAGTGCTACAAAAAAAAAGGATAGAGAATAAGAAACAAATATGTACAGAACAAATAAAAAAAAAACATTAAATAATTTGACAGATGAAAATATTTACTAGAGAAAAGAAAGAAAGAATGAACATGGGATTTGATATCCTCCACATAGTATGAGGTGTTAGAAGTGAATTATGTAGTATAAGAGCATTGTAATTAAAGAGATATCACTGATAAAATACCAAACGCATTGGTAATAGTATATAACAGCAATGATAACAAATAAAAGGAAAACAAATACAAAATTGAATTACAAGCTTACCTCTGGCGATAGCGTTTATCTATATCAGTTAGACCATGATATTTGTCAGGCAATGGAAGCAAAGATTTCGTAAGGATTGCAAAAGATAGCACACACACAGAAAGTTCTCCTGAAGACAATAAAGAACATTAGAAGGTGGTAAAGCTGTAATGAAAGAAAATTGAAAAAGATTGACACAGTAATTTTTGCACTTTGTGAATTATTACAAAATATAAAAAATGTGAAAGGAAAGTAACTATCTAAAAGAGATTATAAAATAAGATAAAGACCTCATTTACTAGGCACTAGACATTCTTAAAAAACCACAAAGATGCAAACTTAATTTCTCACCACTTTTATTAGTAGTTTTCTAGATTTATTGGAAGTGAAATGAACATTCCTCTGAATTAACTTTCAAATGAAATGAATTTTCCCTCAAGAAAAAAGTTAGGAATCACACTAGACTGACCAATCTCATATAACAGGCAAATGATACTGTAGTTAGGATGGTTGTTTGAGTTATATATCCTTGGATTTGTAAAATTCAATATTTACACCGAGTTATTAAGCAAAATAATTCTCATAAAAGTTAGATACTCCTGGAGGAAATTGATTCTTCCTTATATATAATATCTATGTTGGCCGAGTCCAAGATATTTTATCACAGCACTAGAGTAGAAACTATTAGCCGTTTGAATTTTTAGTTAATGTATTCTCTAAATTCTATATTTAAGTTCTGGTTTTGAGTTAAATTGCCAAATGCACAAAAAGAAAACAATTGTATCAAGTGTCAACAACCAACTCTCCTAAAAATTTATGATTGACTTTATTATATCTATAACATGCCCCTAGCACAAGATCCCTTTGGTTGTACCAATCATTATGTTTGTATTACCACAATATTTACTAGCATGTTTGATATAAACTTAAAATTATTTTCTAAAGACCAACTTAATTATTTTATTAATGCGTTGAGAAACAAGATTCTCAAATTTTAATTGAGCCAAGGCTTGAGATTTAAGACTGGTTTTAATTCTATCCTTCGAGAGAAGGATAATATCAATGTGGTTTATATGCATAACAAAAACAAGGGCAGATGCAGATAAATTCACACAAATCAACCGGCTACTGCAAGTTCATACTTTGTTTTTTACATGTAGGAAAAACAAAAAACAGATGGAAATTCAGGATAAACTAATTTCTAGGTAATACCTTTTTCTGTGCGTTTTATTGTTCCTTTTGCACCTAGTATATCACCAATATCAACGTGTGCCTTCAATTGCCCAAACTGTTCATCTACAAGTCTCTCCTTTTCGCAATAGAGCTGTCAACATATATTTTAACTTCCGTAAGAATCTATCCACAACATTTATCAATGAATAAAGAACGCAACAAACTACAAAAACATTTCAATAAGAATAAGTGATCTTATATGATTAACAAAAGTCTTATAAATCTTATTCAAATTTACAAGAAATGTACAAAGGCAATAAAAAGTGTAAAAAAAAACCTGAATTGTTCCTGAATCATCCCTTAGTGTCAAAAAGGCAAGCTTCCCAAATGCCCTCCTTGCGATAATTCTTCCCGCAATAGAAACATGATCGTTCTCACTATTAATTTCCTCACCATTTGCTAAATCTTTATATATATCTTGCAACTGTTTTGCACTGTGTGTTTTGTTCCATTCATAAGCATAGGGATTGAGTCCCTTGCTTTTAATTTCTTCAACCTACATAGATACAAAGCAGGGTTGGCAAAATACTAGTATTTTTTTTTTCAAGTAATAAAACAATCTTCTCAAAATAAAGACAATTAGTTTATCCCTTTGGTAGCACACAACAAAAACCCATCACATTGTTCAAACTAACCATAATCAAAGAAAGGCCCGCCTGACCCCAAGCAATAATAGTTGTGGCATGTTTGAATTGACTTATTTAAGTTTATATATAAGTATAAGCACTTGTAAGACTTTTTGATAGAGCTTATGTTAAAAGCCTCTAAAATGTCCATAATTTGTTTTCAACTTAGATTCATAAACTACTAAGATAGTTCATGCAAACAACTTATAACATATATAAAATCAGGTTGACTATATTTAATCTTTTGCTATATAAATAACTTATACATAAGCACTTACATGATGAGTGTTTATGTTATTCGTGCTTAATTAAGTCGTTTGTCCAAATAGGGCTAACATACTTCAATTTCAGCCATATCACCAAAAATAACATCCAAGTAAAATACCTTTAAGATAATTCTTTATACAAAAGTAAATAAAAATAATCAATTTTGATTTCACCCCCAAAAAACAGATTTACAAGCTTTAAACTAAAAACAAGTTAACAACCAAAGAGAATAATAGAACCATAAAATTGAAAAAGAAACCCAAAGGCATTAGCACATTGTAGTTGTTCAGTGAACACTTCCATATTATGGAAGTTTCAATTCAAACAAAATCAACTTCAATTCAGCTCAACAATTGATAGGAAACAAAGCAAGACAGACATCTCAGTCATGGCTAAGGTACCTTTTTCAAGCGGATGGCTCGAATTGCCTCCCTATCGGAGGTGCAAGTGGCGGGGGAGGATGCAGAGCTCCGGCGGTTGCGACCCGAGGCGGCAGTTGTAGAAGAGGACGCGCGGATAAGAAGGGTGCGAGGTGTTCGACGAAATGCGCAAGTGGAGAAGTGAAAGAAATGGTTCTTTAGTGGGTGCCATGTTAGGTTCAACAGTTTCAGAGCTTCCACCATTTTTTCAATCTATCTCGCGCCCACTTCGCGATTGGGTCGCTTCTCAAATGGTGTGCGAGAGTTTAAATTAGGGTTCTCCAATGAATATTAATATAGTTATGGCCCAATCATTTAACTTTAAAATAAACAATTATTAAGTTTAATAATTAAAATATTAAAGATTTACACGACTATTATATTTAAAGTTACTTATTATTATTATATGCTAAATTAACACCTCACGCGCACTGTTGCCGTTTCATTTTTTCTTTTCTTTTGCTAAATAAATATTAGAGACTTTTTTCCTTAAAAGTTTGAAACAAAAGTTAAACTACAAATTAATAGGCAAATATATAGCTAAATAATTGTACTCACAAATTAATGTCTAATAAAAATTATAATTAGAAACATTTAGATTTGTTTTATTAAATGAAAAGCATCAACTATATAGAGAAAAAAATGTAAGTATAAAAATTACCTTCATTAACCAACAAAATGTGGATGTTGTTTCATTTTGTAAGAGTGCACATCTGAATAGTATAGTCTTTCCATGACCATTCATACCCACAAATATACCAAATGGCATTTCATATGAGTTGACCTTGTATGTAGTATCAAATACAACAACATCGCCATATTTTTTGTACCAATCAAAATAAGAAGCAGGAGACCAAAAAATATGTTCTAACCTTCTTTCTTCATCAAGAGTATAAGCATATTGAAATTTAGAACAACTCTTTTTTGTATCCTCACAATACTTCAGAAGGTCCATAACATCACTTCTTTCAAAAATTTTAGTAGCTTTCAAAAATAAATTGCGAATGTCCTTCTCCATAAATGGAAGATAACCATGCTTCACATTTTTCTCTAGCTCCATGACACACATTATTTGTCTAACTGAAAGCCCTCCTTCTTTTAATAAGAAAATGCGTTCATAATCATTTTCTAAGATAGTTCGATAAGCCGATAAAAAACGCAGCTCTGATTGGGTTAGCAAATCATGGTTATGTTCAACAACAAACTTTGTAACTCGCCATTCACTTGGAAATATATCATGAGACTTTTGTAATAAAATTCGCAAATGAGCTTTACATTCACACTTTGATGTTTCTCTTTTTCTTTGTTCTTTTGATGGTTCTATGATTTTCAAGGGGACTTTACCTTCACGATGGCAAAAAAAATCTCGCCGGCTAATAATTCCATTTTGTTTGATGAATCTACCCTTTCTAATTGAGAATCCATGTTGATATACATATCTCTTGTAAAAGACAAATGCTTCTTCTTCACTAAGGAAATTTTGACCAACAAAAGGAAGAATATTTGTCTCATTACTCGCTCCATCATTATCAACTTCTTCTAAAAACTCATTGATCCCAACATTCTGATTAGAAGATATAAGATTTTCTTTCTCAATACTACTAATAATGTCACCTTCTAACACGTCTTTCTCCCCAATATTACAATCAAAATGTTCAACGATTACTTCCGAATAATCATTCTCCACAGAAAAATCTTCCACTGGACATTCATTCAAATCAAAATTTCTTATATTGTTGTTACTCATGTCTATAGAAATACTAATATCCATTATGCCATTATCATCTACAAATATATCAAAACAATAATTATATCACTATATACATAGTAACACTCTATCATACAATTAAATTTTTTATATTACTATCTACAAATAACAATTTTATATCATACAAATAAGTATATCACAGTCTACAGGTACAAATTTATTTAAATCAAAAGTTTGAGAAAGAAAAAAACAATAATTATAATACTATAAACACTATATCATACATATAAAAAAAATTAAATTAAAGTTTAAGAATATTACATGTTAAGCATGAGAATTTGATTGCCTTTGTGTTGAATTGAAGCATTTAGATTTTCATTCTCATTAACATTCTACTGAAAATTTGTGAGTAGAGAAAACCAACAAAAATTTCATTTGTCTTTTGTGTACCGTATATATTGTAGAGTGAGTGGATGTGAGTGGGTTCCTGCTAAAATATTAGCTAGTTGAAACGTTTTACCTTCATTTTTTAATATTTATTCTAAAGTTTTTTTTATTATGGCTACAAACAAAATAAAAAACAATTTTTTTAAAAAAGAGAAAGAATGAGTCAGATGCGCGTGTAGTCACTTTTTGATAGGAAGTCTTGTTAATATGGGAAAGTAGTGTATACCACACGTTTCAATTTTAATTAACAATTTATTGTTGTTCATTTCACAATAAAATAGGTGGGATCATAGCTAATTTAATGCTCCTTAACCAGTGCCCTCAGGGCACTTGATAACATTTCCCTTTAAAATATTGTTTGTCAATTTTTCTACCTATTAAAATGAATAAATAGTCCTTCTTTTCCATGTTCTTACATATGTTTATGTTTGGACCGACGAGCATATTTAAGATGACTCAATACGAGCATTGGTTCATAACGAAGAAAGTTCAGTTTGATTTCCAAAATTAAGGGTGTTGGCTCAATGTCAAGATATCAATGGACTTAAAAGATAAATATTTCAAAGAAAAGATTATAGGATCTCAAGAACATGCATAATTATGTCCTATAATCACTTTTGTTTTTAATGAAGTAAGTTTACAGCTTTTAACTGTAATCATCTATGAACGTGACAACGTATCTGTTGTCTGCAATTGAATCCACCTAGATTGGACCAGATACATAAAAGTATATGACATCCAGAATTGTCTTTGACTTCCTTACTGCATCCTTGTTGAAGATATTCTTGTGTTGTTTCGACTGAACACACTCTTCACAAACTTCACTTGAAATGTCAATTTCAGGTAATCCTGAAGTCATATTTCTTCTCTTTACCTCTCTATTGTCATTGAAGTTGAGACGACCTAGTCGAAAGTGTCATAATCACTCGTCTCTGTTGGCTGCAGTTGTTAGGCACTTGTGCTCCATCACATTGAGTTCAATCTTGAAGGTCGTATTATGAGACATTGAAGCCTTCAAGATCAACCTACCACCTGCGTCGAGAACTCTCATCATCTTGTCTTCAATAACTACCTTGTAGTTCTTTTTGGCAAGCTGTCATATACCGAACGAGTTACTTATCATGTATGTTATGTATAACACATTGGAAGTTTTTGATTTCTTGTCATCCTTCCTCATGATTTGAACATCACCAACACATTCAGCTGCTAGAGTGTTGTCATTTGTAAACTTCATCGTGTTCTTCGATGAAGGTTTCATGATGATAAACCAATAATTCATTCCAGTCATGTGTGATAAGCATCCTGAGTCAAAGTACCACTGGTCTTGGAATCTCTCTTCGTCTCTTGTTGTGACCATCAACAACATCTCTTATTCTTCATGTTCCGCCAGCTTTACATCAGTTTCTTGATTATTCTTCTTTCCTAGACAATCACTAAAATATTGACCATACTTCTGACAATTGAAACACTGAATGTGACTTTTGTATGACTTTCGACCACCACCTTTTCCTCTACCTGCAAAACCACCTCTTTGGTTGCCTTGGTTCCAGGATTTTCTCTAATTCGACCAGTTTTCTTCATGTTAATTTCGACTAGTCGAATTGGTGTAGCCTCCTCTACCTTTGTTGTCATTCCAGTTTCCTTTGCATTTCCTTTCTTTTTCTGACTGCGCCTGCATAGCCATATCACTTTTCAATTTTCCTGCAGCTCTTTCAACCATCCTTTGTTCATCAAACTCAAGCGTTTCTTAAAGCTTTTCCTTCGTCAATACTGACAAGTCTTACGACTCTTCTATGGCTATCACTACGTGGTCGAATTGTGGAGTCAATGACCTCAATATTTTTGACACAGTTGATCCTGATGTAAACACTTTTCTACATACCTTGATTTGATTCACCAACTTTGTAACTCTGGTGAAGAAACTTATTATACTTTCATTGTATTCCATCTGAAGTAATTCATAAGTCCTTTTGTGAGTTTGTAACCTCACCTTTCTCACCTTCTCTACGCCTCTAAATGATTTTTCAAGAACCTCCCAAGCTTCTTTTGCTGATTCTACATCACTAATCTTTTCAAAATTATATGAATCAACACATTGATGAATTATAACGAGAGTTTTATAATCTTTCTTCTTCAATTCTTTATATGTTGATTTCTCATGATCTGTCGTTGTTTCTGCAAGCGACGATAATTCCTCTTTCACAAAATCTCAAAGATATTGGTAACAGAAAACCACCTTAATCTGTTTGCACCAATTCTCATACTTATCTTTTTTGAGAATTGAAAGATTTGCTGAAAAGTGATCGTTCAGGTGATTCACCACCATTATAGTTGTTCTTCCCTTGAATTAAAATCGGAGCTCTAGATACCATATATTGGAAATCAACCACGATTTTTATGGTGAATTCTTCTCAATCTTGATCTCAAGATTGTTTTGACTCACGTAATGACAATGAACAAAATAAAGAAAGAAAGAAAACATTAGAGAAGAAGATGAACAATTTTCTGCAGAGTAACTCTCTATCCACAACTGTAGAATTTTATTATCACTTGATGATTACAATAAAAAACAGTTCTTCCCTATTTATAGATTTAAGTTAATTTGCATTTTAAACTAAAACTCAAACTATAAAAATTCAAAAATATCTAATCTAATCTTTTTAAATCAAATCTGATATTTTTAAATTAAATTTAATCTTTCTAAAACAATAAATTACATATTTAATATTTGTTTCCTTTATTTTTTTTATTCACTCAAATTCTTCAACAATTTAAAATAAATTTTAATATTCTACAAATTTTATGGTTAAATATTTCAATCTCATCTTTAATAATATATGAGAAGTACTAGTAAAATTTTATAAATTTGGCATCTTGGGAAATTAAAATAAAAAAGAAGGTAATGGGGATTTCAATTTCAAAAGATAGTGCGACTTTTTAACGTTTTTTTTTAAACATTTATTCCATTTTGTTTGTTGGTAAGCTGTGATTTACTTAAAAATTTAAGTATTTTTAATACTCAATAATCTCTTGGCGGTAATGTTTTAAAAACGGGATTGAATCGATCACTTAGTGATAATGTTTTAAAAACGGGATTGAATCGACCAATTCAACCGATTTAATCGGGAATCGATTTGATTGAGTCAATCTTTTAAAATTGTTAGTAGGTCAAATTTGAAGTAAAATTAAAAAAACCAAATTGAATCGTCTAGGTCAGTTTTGTAAAACTGGTTCAAAAAGATACATTAAATTGACCATTTTTTATAATTTTTTTAAAAATTTAATACGTCAATATCAAAACTTAACATATATTTTTCAATAAAAAAGAATTATGTATTTTTTAACAATCATATAAACTTCTAAATTCTATCATGTTATTGTCGTTCAAACATAATCACGTTGTTCACTTCAATTCAATATTTATTGTCGTTCAAGTCCATGTGTTATTTATTTTTGATACTTTATTTTATTTAATTGATGTATTCTTAATTATTTGAACATTATTTTAGTTATTATATTATATTATTTTAATTTTGATTTAAGTTAGTTTTATTTATTTTATTCTAACTCTTTAATTTTTTAAAATTATTCTTAAATAGAGGTTGAAATGAAGTGTACAATTATATTAATATATGTACTATCGATATTGTTGTATTAAGTTTGTAATGAATTTTTTAAATATTTATTTTATTAAATTATGAACATATAATTGTACGTGACATATCTATAAAATTTAATTTCATATTATTAAAACTCATATCTATAAAATTTAATTTCATATTATTAAAAGATTGTTTAGTGACTATTAAACAACCGAACAAACATAGGTTTTGTGTTTTCTTTTGAGTATTTTGAGCTATATATATATATATATATATATATATATATATATATATATATATATATATATATATATATATATATATATATATATATATATATATATATATATATATATATATATATATATATATATATATATATATATATATATTTATATATATATTTATATATATATTTATTTATATTTATATTTATTTATATTTATATTTATATTTATATTTATACTAGTTTTGCGCACAAGTGAGGACAAATTTATACTAGTTTGAACTAGGTTTTAACTCTATGGGCTCCGTAGATGGGCTTTTTATATACCTAAATTCAGAAATTAACTTGCCACCCTCTCAATAAAATATGTTATTGCCACCCCCTCAATAAAATATGACACCCATTATAGATGTTATTACCTTTACGTTCTTATGATTTTTTTTGGAATTTTTTATTACAATTATTGGAATTGTCGAAAAATTTCGGAATTTTCTAAAATTTTCGATAAAAAATCAATGATATGTGAAAAAAATGTAGAAAAATACCATAAAGAGAAGTCCTCAGAATTGTGCGACAATTTTTTACACAAATTTTCGAAGAAAAAATCCTTAAAAAAAACCATTTTTTACACAATTGAAATTTCGAAAATTTCGATAAACTACCACACTTTTTGAAATTTTTTATAAACTATAACACTTTTTGAAATTTATGGTAAACTATGACACTTTTAAAAAAATCCGATAAAAAATTTGTAGAAATATTTTTTTTGAAATTGTGGGGGTGGCAAGTTAAATACTCTAATTTTTTTTTTAGAAATATTTTTTTCACCGTTATAGTTCTCCCACACGATTGTGAGAACTCATAAATGCCTTTAGTGTTTAAAGATCAATCTTTGAACGCATTTTTTTTCACTTTTAATTTGTTGAGAAATTATTATTCTATTAAAAAAATTGACAAAAATTGACAAATTTTTAGGGTTAGAGAGAAGATGAAACAAAAAATAAGTTGCAAAAATATTATATCTAAATCATTCGATCAAAATTGAGATCTAAATGGACGGTCTCTAAAAAAATAAAAATAAAAATAAATTAAGATCAAATATAAGACATGAGATCATATATTATCAGATCTAATCAGAGAAAATCAGAGAAATCATATTCACTCACGAACTTTGATTCATTGCACTTAAATCACCTTGCATTGTGTCGTCTCTAGGATTTAAAATTGGTAATTTTGTGATAATTAAACTTGGTATTTTATAAACCCTGTGATCATGATCAACCGATTGAAAAATTCTTGACAATGTGAATGCAGTAATAATCTTACGACAGGGATTCAATTTCTTCATTCATTAATTCACTTCCTATTTATCCTCGTTAACCAATATTGGATGTTATTATCTTTATGCTTTTACGAATTTTTTTTGAGAATTTCTATTGCATTTATCGAAAATTTAAAAAAAAAATAAAAAATATCCAAAAAAATATCATATTTCTTTTTGAAATTTCATGTAAAAATGATTTACAAATATTTTTTTGAAGAAATACCATAGTTTTCTAAAAAAAATCTGAAAATTTAGAAGAAATAAAATTTTACACTACCGAAAATTTCGAAATTTTTGATAAACTACCACATTTTTTGAAATTTTTGGTAAAGTATAACATTTTTCAAAAAAATAGATAAAAATTTGTAACGACAATTTATAACAAAACCATCATCATACTACGACATGTCAAGTCATAACAAAAATATTTTATATTCGATTATACCATATAAGAAAATAAAAGACTAAAAAAGAAGTTTATGATTTCTAGAAAGAACAATCTATTAGCCAACTTACTTAAAGATCTTATACCACACAAACATATTATCTAATAAGTAAAAAAAAAGGTGGTAGATTGACTCATCTGAATTTCTTCCATATAAAAGACAAGAGATTCTACTAGAAAAAACAATCACCATTTCTAGACAAGCTCTCTCTATAAGGTCACCATGACGGAAACTCATTCACAATGAATCACACACTTTCCTAATGGTCAAATACTCACCCAAACAAGTGAGAGAGATACCACATATTCACCAAAAAATTTAAGGTGATAAGTGTATACGTCCTCTAACTTATAAATTGTTCAACTTTCACTTTTTCAAACAATGTGGGACTTACAACTCACACTTATTTCTTAATAATCTCCCGCTAAAGTGTGAGTTCATCCACTATGATCAACCTCAAGTGAAAACTCTTTCATCCACATATTTGTACCACTGTTGCCAGACACCCTAACCATGTCACGGACCTTTCAACAGGATACGTCGCTTAACTAACACTATGTTAGGAAGACTTTCGATACAAGGAGTCGATCTCTTTCTTAAATCAGACTTAAATACCACTATTGAGTCATCATGATGGGAAACATTCACAATGCGTTAAATACTCATGTAAAGTTCAAAGATTTACTCAAACAAGTGAGAGAGAAACTACATGTTCACCCAAAACCTAAATGTGATAGACACATGGGTTTTCGTAACACCTTATTTCTCCAACTCAAAATTATAATTAAATCAAAGATTTTTCACAATATTCACTCAAAGGATGTTATACATTTCAAAACACACACATGTTGATAATGTAAACCTTAATTTAAATAAACATACAACACCTGTCATCGCATGCTCACCTTCACTTAAGGTATCATCGCAGTGGAAATACTCAATTAAAATAGACCAATTTAAATCTCATAATAAATCTCATATCATAATTAAAAAGCACTGACTCGTATGTCTTATCCAAATAATTATCACACCAAAACATAAAATACACGAGCATACATTGTCTCAGAAATCTCAACAAAAAACAAAAAAAATCGCTCCCCAGTATTACATATCAGGGCATACCCAAAGCTGAACGAAGAAAGCTAGTTCCTTGATATAGAGTTAGATCCGAGGTATAGATTTGTGAGATGTTGAATCGAACTCTATTATGGTCGAAGGGTAGCTTCTGGTTCGACAGAAATTAAACATGAGGTCAAAGTATGTTCGCACGTTGCTGTCGAAGTAATGCGTGTTGTAGTCGAAGTTGTTCTAACATGCATTAGTCAATTTTGCTAGGGTTGTTACCATGTTGAAATGTGCCTTGTTTGTAATCCTAATTGTTTAAGTTAGCTTGTACCTTAAGTTAACTTGTAATGGGTAATTGTTAAAAGCTCATTAGGTTAATGTGCTACTTTTTCTTATAAATAGGATGTTAATTTCTCAATCTTGATATAAGAAAAAATAGGAAGATAAAATCCTAATTTCAAGAGAGAGAGATTATTTTGTTATTCTTGTATACTTGTAATCTTGTTCTAACAGAAAGGAAATAATAACTATTTATAACCAACCCTTATTGTTCCTTGTTGTTTCCTTATTTTCTTTGTTAACCCTAACTCTTGTATGTTTCTTGATCATAATGAAACCATTTATATTTTGTTAACCCTAACTCTTATTAAGGACTAGTTTTTTTCTTTCTTTCGAAACAACCAAATTTTATATTTATAAAGAGAGAGCATTAGGGGTGCTCTAAACCCTTACAAGACAAAATAAGATTTAGAGAAATTTCACACCAACAACAACTACAAGGATAAACAACAAACCGAGTTCGTACACATATCCAAGTAATTAATTTTAGAATACAGAATATCTCCAATAGCCGGCCATTTCCAAATCAAGAATTTAATATACCACACTATGTTATTCAAATCACACCTAACATCGTTCAAAATAATGTCTTTTATAGATTTCTAAATCCCCCACACCACTGCCAACCATATAATATCTATTTTATTCTTATTACGTTAGTTGTAATCATCAAAAGGTATTATTCTTATTAAAGGTATTTACCTAGAAGTTAACTTGTAAAACAAGGTTTCACAAGATATAAACGAAATTAAAATACAACGGTCTCAATTGATATTTCTTTCGTTCAATGGTGTCTATCCCTATTACTGTATAGTAGTTATATTTTCCTTTGTTTCTATTTTATAAATCAATTAAATTATATATATATATATATATATATATATATATATATATATATATATATATATATATATATATATATATATATATATATATATATATATATATATATATATATATATATATATATATATATATATATATATATATATATATATATATATATAAAATAAGGTTCACGTTATTTAAAGTTCTAATTATCTAAATTATATGAGACATATTCAACCTATCTTTCATTCCATTTGATTAATGTGTTGGTGTGTTAGAACATAAGAAAAGTCTCTTTGGTTGCTAAGAATTATCTTTAGATGAAATCATTGATTGTATAAAATCCATAAAGAATTGTTGTAGAGGATTGGATCGTTAAATACACACGTACATGACAATATCCCTCATATATCATATGAAACAAAAATTTAAAACTAATTGTTAATTAATACACAACAACATTGTTGGATCAGAATGAGGTAAAACATTCATGTTCTGAAGAATTTGAGTCGTCACACGGAGAGTGATTGTGTCTTCCTTCATAAGTGGTTATTACCATACGACAATCTTCTGAGAGTCGTTCAACTCTTTTTTTCACCCGACAATTGTTATATGTGCAACGATAATAACTTCTACATAAATTTCAAAATAAGAATTATTAATAACTATTTAATATAATTGATATACTATCAACACAAAAAAAAATGCAATAGATAAATTATAAATTAAAAAAAAAAAAAGCCTATTTAATTTCAATATTACTCAATATGATCAATAGTCAATTTTTACACTTTCAAACAACTCACCTGTCTTATATATTTTCTAGTGATCATTAGAATAAGATTTTCAATTTCCTATAATTCCACTTCAAAGTACATATCTTTAAGTACAAACTTGAAGTGATAGTCTATAAATGAAGCAAATTTACCAACTACACTTTCTTGGGTTTAATAATGGTAAAGCATATATAGCACTTCAACCACTTTGTATTGCTTCAATAGTTACTAACTAAATCCAGTAAAACTATTAAACTTTCTTCCATCAATGCAACATTACATAACATATCATCTTTTTCTTTCTCTAAATTATTACTACTAGTAGTTTCCTTAAGTCTAAGTAACTTTGGCTTTCATCATACTACTTTATTTGTTTTCTTTTATTTAGCATGAATCTTGTGTAGGATAGTAACAAAGTAACTTTGTTTTATTTGGTTTTCATCAATGCTTTGAACTTTCTAAAAAAAATTCAGAAGATACCATTGCAATATTCTCCCTAGGTAATGAACACAAGCCTAGTTTACTTTTATATAGCCTTACTTTTATCTTAGCCTTAAAAATAGTATCTTATTATTATAAAATATTAAATTTGTTTGTTTAGTGTCAATATAATATTATTGTACTTCAAAAAAAATAAATAAGAATATTGATAAATATGCTTATCAAATAAATTATATTTAATTAGACTTAAATATAATTTAGCTCCTTTGTTTTTTTAAAATAAATTTCTTATTATTTTATTTTAAAAACTAGTTTTTTTTGTTGTTGTTCTCCGGTCTATTTTTGGATTGATTTTGTTCAAAGTGAAAAATTTTTTTAACATATTATGTACACAAAATTGTCACCAATAATATATGTTATACATATTAAATGCATCAACCTATATATTGCTCAATCGACGAAATTAATTTTAAAATAGGACATGAGATCAAAATTTAAGAAAATGAAATACGTAAAACTAAAAAGCCATTTTTTAATATTAGGATCAAAATTTTATACTTTTATAATAATAAAATATCATAGAATGTTTTTAAGTAATTTAAATATTAACATAATGACTAAACTCATACTCAAAATAAACATTTAAAATAAGAGAAAATAAAGTGAAGTTATCTCGACTAAATGTAAAATTTTATATAAACATTTGAAATGAGAGAAAATAAAGTGATCTCGAAAAATATAAAGTTTTATATAAACATTTGAAATGAGAAAAAATATAGTGATTTAGAATCAAATCTTAAGTAAATAATTTTCAAAACAAACTAGAGAAGAACAAGACTATAATTATATTTGTAATAATGATTTCACATTTAACCATAACATCTTATGGGTGCACAAAATGCATGAACATAAATTTGATTATGAAGTAATAAGAATGCAAATATAGAGGATTAATTGTTTTGGGAATATATATGTATAGTACAAGGGAGAGGAAGTAGGGGACCCTATAGTGTGCTCTATTGTCAAAACTATAGTTATTATATCCACTAGAGAAGATATAAATATATTCTCACTCACCAATTATTTCTTTCTTTTTCTCCAATCAATATATATGCTCAGTCTGAACCATCCAACCAGTACTATATATTCAACAAAGTAAACATCTTGATCATTCATTTCTTGATTATTTTCTCTCACTCTCACTAAATCCTAATCCTAAATCTAGTTTTTTTTAAATATTTTTAGGAATATTCACTTTGTTTGTTCATTACCGACACCCTTCATTTTCCTAAAAAAACACATTTTAATTACCTTCATTTCTCTGGATATAATGCCTTTTTATAGTGAAGAGATTATTGATTAAGCAAGAATGAATGCATTAGATACCTTGGATGAAGGCTATTCTTAACAACTTTCTGGCCATACTTCCTCCATTTGTAACCATCATCAAGCACATCAACATCACTTCTTGTCTGAAAACAAAACCTTGGTTCTCTTAGCTTCCTCCTCACTTTCACCTTGTTCTTCTCACTTCCTCCACTCCTCCACCTAAAATCATGTCATTTCCTTAGCTTAAGACATTATAATTTATGAGTTTTCAACCAAAAATCTTTTTGGCACAATCCAGCCTAAAGAATATCATCTAGTGTATAATATTTACGTGCATGCACTTTTGTATATATAGAGAGAGAGGGAAAGGAAGAGAGAGAACATTGCAATTGGCAATGAAATTTTGGAGTTACCAAGTGTTGTTGCCATCACTAGTATTTCCAGTGCAATTCTCATCACTTACAACAGCTTTGGGATCTAGAGTTCTCACCTGATCAAAACAAAATCACAAAAGTTTGATTTATTCATTGTATCATCCATATAATTATTGAATTAATCATCATTATTAGCATCTTAGTGAATAGATATGAAAACAATACCCTAACAATGAAAAAGACATAACAACACACAAATAACTAAATATACAAATTAATCAAAAATTTGAAGATTATATAGTTTGAACTTCATTTGTAATCACTAAATTATTGCACAAAAAAGGATATAAAACTAACAAATACATAGTTTAAACTTTATTTGATTCAGTTAAACAAAAACTAATTTGATGTTAATTATTTTGACTATATATTAAATATATTGCAATACAAATGAAAATTAAATCACCTGTTCATTAGTCCAAGGAGTTCTAGTGACAAGATCATTAGGGCTGAATCCGGCGGCTGCGGTGGTTGTTGAGACAGCTGCAGCGGTAGCGGTGGTGGAGCTGCCGCCGGAGTTTAGAGATTGTGTAGATGGAGACAAGAAGCTAAGAACTTGATTATCTTCAAATTGAACAAAACCCATTTCATGGATGGTTTGAGGAGTGTTTGTGAAAGAAACTTGAAGCTCATAATTAGGAACATCTCTTTCTCCTTCCATATCCCTAATATTTGTATGAAAAACCTAAATTTTTGGAATATTTTTGGTTTATTCTTCTTGTTTTCTAGCTATCTTGATCTTCTAATAGTGGCAAGTTCTAGGCCATGTGAGGGTTTGTGTGTGTATATAGTTTGGTCAACTAAGTGTTTTATGCTTTTTAATGAAATTCTAAAGGAAATGTTTTTCTTGAGAACTATTGTGAATCTTGTTTCTTAAGGGAGAGTCTATTATTATTCTATAGTTTTGTATTCTTTATCTCTCTCTCCCCCTCTCTCTCAATCACACGTGCATTGTTCTTCTATTATTCTATTTCATTTAATTGAAATCTATGATCTCATCAAAATGTGAGAATAATGAAGCTAGATCTTAAGATTTATTTTCCTAATAGTCGCATAGTCAAATTTTACTATTTAAAATATAAATAAATAAGATATTATGATTTCTAGGTGTTTAGTGGCCTCTAGGTATTTCTTTTTTAAAGTCTTGGGACGAGGCTTCGAGAGTTTGGTGAGTTTGGTGTCTGAGTTCAAACTTGGTTTGTGTTTGTTGTCGATTTTCTGAATGTTTAATTATTGGTGTTTTTTTTCTTAGACTTTTTTTCGTTTTTTACAATTTTTGTAGGGTTTATTTATTTATTTATTTTTGTTTTGTTTATTTATTTTTTATTTGTTGGTTTTTATGAGACTCTTTGTTATTAGAGATTAGTTATGAAAGTTAATTTTAGTAGTTATGTTACTTAGGGTGCTTATGCATTATAAATAATCATAAAGGTAGAAAGTGTAACAATATTGTGTATGGATTAGGTATATAACCACAAGCATAAATTTATTATGTGAGATGATGAACATAATATACTAAAGCAAGAAGATATATCTCTCTCATGCATTCATATACATCAAACATGATATCTACGCCTTAGGGGATTGTATTCTTCCTCTCATCATCATCATCATGATGTACATTCCCGAGCGTAGATTATAGCTTCAAAGAAGTTATTATTGATATCCATCACTTTATTAAGGGCTTGAAGCTTGCATGGCCGAAATAAAAAATTCACCACATGGAGTGCAACACGAAGTGAAAGCATCTCAAGCAATGTTAAATGTCATTGCTTTCTCAAGTACAACCAACATTTTTGCACCAAATTGTCAAGTAAGCTTCAAGAAAATAATTTGTTATTGTGAAATCAGCAAGTTCATCTTCGGTAACATAATACTATTACGGTTATGTTTTCTACCGTTGTAATATCACAAACTGGATGCGCTTGATATATTTTTTATTTTTTGAAATTTATTTAATCACGGTTGAGATAAACAACCATGGTGATAAAGTAAGTGTTACAAGCTTCGAATCCTAACAACTACATTTTTTTTTCCTTTTTTCCTATTACAAAAAGCGCGCGTCACTTAAGTTCATGAATAAGATCTAATTTTTATTTTATTTTTCTAAAGTTATTTAACCACAGTTTTTCTGGTTAACCGTGATGAAAAGTGATTTTTTTAGTATATAAGTAAGAGCAACCTTTACTCTTCCCAAAAGAGAGAAATCACTATAATGATGATAGAAATCTTTCTTCATTTCTCAAGACGATCACAAGTCATTCAAGAATATCAATTATTAAAAGTAATCATTGCAAGCATTAAATCATCAGATGTTTCATCTTTAACCTCTTATATAAATGCACACTTTCATATAATGAATTTTCACATCTTCAAGCTATTTTTCTTAACTTTCTATAGCAACACGAGTTCTCCATGAGAAAGCTAAGAGAACCATCTTAACAAAAGTCACTCTTGAGAACAAAACTATCACCACAGTACAACACCATCAGCAGTCAACTGAAGAGGTCCAACCATCTAGGTTGACTGATATCTAGGATGCACTGAGGGTGAGGAAGGCTAAGAAGAAGAAGAAGAAGAAGAAGAGAAAGGCGCCGAAGAAGATTTTTTACTATGACTCATATGAGGGTAGTGAGGAGTGAGTCGTAGATTGAAAAGATTCTTGTAGTGCTATAGGATATTGTTCTGATCTGAAAAAAATTATGTTTTATGTACTCTTTTCTTGTGGGCCTCTTTGTAGAACTTATTTAATATTGTTTTATGTACTCTTTCCATTTGATCAATGAAAAATGAAAACAAAAAAAATAGTACACAACTAGCAAAAATAACAACAACAACAACAAAAACAATAATGAAGAATATCAATAACAATATTAAAAAGCCCTCTCACCATTATTCTCCGGTATGTTATTGTTGTTGTTTTGGTTCATTAATGTTGTCTATTTTTCCTATTACAAAAACTATGTGTCACTTAACCTTATAAATAAATAAAAAACTGAAAATTATTTAACCACTGTTTTTCTTGTCAACCGTGGTGAAAAAGTGATATTTTTTAGTATATAAGAGAAAGTATATGTCGTTCAGTACATAACAACTGTTTCTCTCAAAAGAAAATCCTAACATATTTCACTTTTCTCTCTCATAACATAACCCTAATATCCATGTAACTCTTTAAACATACTTCAACCTTCAGATTCATCTTCACCAATCGCTACCGTGAGGTTTGTTCATTAAACTTATGCTTTGACTACGTTTACATTTCTTGTTTAAAATGGGTTCTCATTTTTTCATTGGGTGAATATTCTCATTTTTTCAGATTCGTCTTCACCACCTTAACAAAGCGGATACTTTGGCTATGGTACATATGGTTTGTGTTGCTATGAAAAAAAATATAAGAAGTATGAAGCTATTGTGTAAACTCCATTCACATTGTACTTCTTTTTCATAGCATCATAAACTAGATGAACTTCATAATTTGTTCTAGTTCCACGATTAGTTTCAAAAAAAATGCTTCTTGAAACATTTTATTATATATTGTATTGTTGTATGTTGTTGTTGATTAATGTTCTCAGAACTTCTTAATTTGTTGTTGTTGTTGTTGTTATTGTTGTTGTTGTTGTTGTTTATTATATCTTGCGTTCTTGAACTTTTTATTTATTTTGTTGGATGTTGTTGTGTTGTTGATAAACGTTGTTGTATGTTGTTGTTGTTGATTAATATTTTCAGAACAAGAACAAAACATTTCTAAGTCACAAGAAAGAGGCTTCTTGTGACTTTTCTTGTGACTTAACAATGTTTTGTTCTTTAAATTCTTATGCAGGTTGCACAATAGATGAATTTGAGTTTATTATATAATATGTAGATTGTTTGTGTCACTAACCCTTCAGTGGAAATACATTTTATTTAAATTGACATAGAAACTTATAATCTGAAAATTAAGTTGTATTTGAAAACCAACATATATCAATCAATGTTTTTTGAATTGCATTCGTCTCATCATTCATCTCACGTTGTTTAACATATTGAATGTGTAACACCCTTTTCTACCCCATAAATATAATGGCAAATCAATCACATTTATCAGAGTAAAATATTAAACACAATAAAATCACCTTAAAGGGCGTATATTTCTCAATAACTCAAATAAAAGTCAATGCTCTGTAAACAACGAGTTTTCCCAAAATTACTCAAAAATTGCTCAAAAGGCAGCGGAACTCAAAAAGGAAAAATCCAAAATTTTCCTTGCGCAACAACGTAATCAAAATGACAATAATTAATAAAACATGGTTTAACTCAAAGAACCCAACTAGATGTTACACTATCAGAGCAAGACCCTCTAAGTCAACCAAAAGTCAAAAATTCATCGACAACATCCACGGCTAAACCTGGTCATCTGAACGTTACCCACGTGGAGGCAACATTCAAACAGGCAGGGTGAGTAAAATGATTCATAATAATCAATATAGGAATCAATATATAAAATAGTGTCATTTTCGTATTCAACATCATCATAATCATCAAGGAAACATAAAAAAGCCATAATATCATAAATTACACCAAATTGTCACTTAAATGCAAGTGCAACAAGACTCATGCATGTGGTACCAATTCATCAAAGTTCGATGGGCACTAGGCCATCAACCCTCCATAGATCCCCATTAATAGGACCGATTCTACACAAGAATCAGAACACAACAAAATACTTCACATCCGCATAATGGGACCGAAGCCACAAAAATCAAACACTAGACCGAAGTCCGGAATGCATATGAATGCATGATGCACACGTCAATATCATCCTCATAATAAACTCATTAGGTACATCAACATTCATCAAAATCATCATAATAATCATGTCATCATATAATCATCAAAACTCATGGAATCAACATCATAACTCATCATCATTACTCATTGGAATCATCATACAATCATGTACTAATCACATAGGAATCACAATCATACTCCTGGCAATTCATCGAGAAAATCACAGCATCAAAGCATCAAAATAGCACTGCACAAGAACACAATTTGTGAAACTCTGTTACATTCACTAGACAGTTCACCGTGCGAGTCTGTGTTGAAGCAATAAAGCAGCAAACAAAAAATATTAAGTAGTCAGTTTTGTCGTCTCCACAGGGATCAGTGCGATATGAACGTCGTTCAACGGCCTCTATATTTCTAAGCTTATTGTTTAAAAGTTTTGGTTTAAAAGGGTTCAAGGAACTATAGATAAAAATAGAAAATATAAAATAAAGACTGAAATATAAACGGAGCCTTGTTGGGATTGGATTTCATCAATTGATAACATGTGCATTCTTCTGATCAAATTAAACACAGTGCAATCATTCGTCTAATACCCTTACGTATCACCCACGACAAAGCTTAGCTCTAACGCAGCGTCGAGAGAACAACCATATTGTCTCATTGGTGATCTCTCATCCAACAAAAACACAACACAGAGCATTACGAACTGATACTCACGCAAATGTTAAGCCTAAATCTATCTCTAGCATTTAGGACCTAACAGGTAATCATCCTAGATCCAGATCTGAAAAGTATATCTCTATCACGATTCAAATCAAAGATAAACAGGTAAACAAAGACGACACCCATATCGGATAAACAATTGTTTTGCATAAAACACAATGATCAAAATAC